AACTCAGTGGAAAAAAAAGGTTGAAGAAAATAAAAGGGGGATCAGGGGAGATAAAGAAAAACAAGGGAAAAAGACAACCATCTCTGTTGGTTTAAAGGTCAAAGAGTAACAATAATACAGAAAGACTCTTTCATCTTGCCAGATTCAACAGCACACTACATTTTGGCTTTTAAAATAACGTTTACACCATTGGGTTCTGGATTCTTCTTCCAACTGACAGGCTCTGACTTCCAATTGTGCTCACCCCCAACCCCCTGAAGCACCTGTTTTTTCCAGACCGCACACTTCTCCAAACCCAACCCCCTGACCTAAGTTCAGTTTTCATTTACGATTATATCTCTCTCTGTCTGGCACTCATTTTCTAAGATCTTCACTTCTCTTTACTTACTAGCCTAAATGCATATTACTCTAGACTTTTAAGAAAGATTCATGACAGCTAGATCATGCCATGCAATAATTCAAGTTCTACCATCTAAATGTTTGTGTGTTTATATATATAAAATATCTGTACATAATACATATGCACATATATATGTATATTGTGCATGTGTGTGAGTATGTATATAAATAAATAAAAGTAGCATTTGCAAGAGTTTTAAAATCTATCAGATCACACATTTCTTTAGCCAAACAATAAATACTCTGTGATGAGTCATGATACCTCACTTTCAAGTGTCCACTTTAAGAATAAGTATGACATCAGATGGTTCAAAATAAGCAAATAAGCAAACCAACAAATACAAGCAGGCTAGGATAGGCATCCGGGAATTTCTTTTCTAGGCTCTGAGGCAAATTCCAGGTGCTGTCTTCTCTTTTATCAATTTTATTTCCTACTATGTTTTTGGAAATTCCATTCATTCTTCCAGTCTGATGCATATGACTTCACAGAGTTGGAAAGGGAATGAAAGGGGGTGGGACCAAAAGAAGAGTGGTAGGAAGGAGAAACCTAATGTTTTATCAAGTTTGTTGTTGTTGTTTGGCTGAGAGTAAAGACTTTGCCTGTCTTTCACCTCTATATACATTGGTACCAAGAGCAAAGTCAAGTGAATTTATTCAATAAACATACATTGAATAAATGAAATCAATGACTCTGTACTGTGTGCTGAGGGTCATGCTGGATGGTTATAAAGACAGTACTGGCTTCCCTGGTGGCTCAGTGGTAAAAGAACCAATGCAGGAAACACAGGAGATGTGGGTTTGATCCCTGGGTTGGGAAGATCCCCTGAGAAGGAAATGGCAACTCACTCCAGTGTTATTGCCTGGGAAAATCCCATGGACAGAAGAGCCTGGTGGGCTGCAAGGCCATAGGATCGCAAAGAGTCGGACACTGACTGAAGCTACTGAACACACATACTGAATAACTGGGCAATGCAAAGTAACTCAGTATAACAAGATGCCCTCTCTTGTATGATAAGAGAATACATTCCCTGAGGTGGTACCTTCAGAGCTTGGGCTCATGCTGAAGCTGTGATCCCATTATCTCAGTGGGCAAAACAAGGGTAGGCAATAACTTAAGGCAAGCTTTCATTCATGGGCCAAGTCTGGCCTGCAGATTGTACAGCCCAGGAGCTAACAATGGTTCTTACATTTAAAAGGGTTATAAAACAAAACAAGAAACAGCAGAAATCAAATATGGCCTACAAAATAAAAATATTTACTCTCTAGCCTTTCACAGAAAAAGTTTTCTGACCCTGTTCTAAAGAGACACTGAGATTAGAGAAGGAAATGGCAACCTACTCCAGTATTCTTGCCTGGAAAATCCCATGGATGGAGGAGCCTGGTAGGCTACAGTTCATGGGGTCACAAAGAGTCAGACACGACTAAGCGACTTCACTATCTTTTCTTTCTTTCTGAAGTTGCTGTTGTTCAGTCATTGTGTCTGACTCCTTGTGAACCCATGGACTGTACACACCAGGCTCCTCTGTCCTCCACAGTGGGGTTTGCTCTTGGAGTTTGCTCAAATTCATGTCCATGAGTCAATGTTCAAGATGGTTTTAGAAAAGGCAAAGGAACCAGAGATCAAATTGCCAACATCCGTTGGATCATCAAAAAAGCAAGAGAGTTCCAGAAAAACATCTACTTCTGCTTTATTGACTATGCCAAAGCCTTTGACTGTGTGGATCATAATAAACCATGGAAAATTCTGAAAGAGATGGAAATACCAGACCACCTGACCCACCTCTTGAGAAACCTGTATGCAGGTCAAGAAGCAACAGTTAGAACTGGACATGGACTGGACACGACTGAGAGGCTGAACTGAACTGAGTCAGTGATGCTACCTAACCTCTCATCCTCCACTCTATCCTTCTCTGTTTGCCTTCAATCTTTCCCAGCCACAGGGTCTGAGGTTACTTTTAATCTAAAGTGTGTTTGACTTGAATAGTGTTCAAACACAGCAAGACTGCAGGCCTAAGCTCTGTGGGTTTTCTGGAGCCACATACACAAGCTCAATGTTACATGCATATGTAAAAAGCACAATAGCTGCTTTGGAATTCTGGTCTGCTAATCCCAACATATATGTCATCTTGGAGTTAATTTCTATTAATTGCCTTCTCTGATGAGCATGCATCACATTTTTCTGTTTCTTTGTAAGCCCAGTAATTTTGGATTATATCTTGAACATGTTATGTTTATTACAGCAGTGCTGTCCAATACACACACACACAAAAAAAAACATGAGCCACATAAGCAATTTTAATTTTCTATTATCTACATTAAAGAAGTAAAGAAACATGTGACTTTAATATATTGCATTTTGATCCAATGTCTTCAAAATACAACAGGCTTCATTGATGGTTCAGTGAGTAAAGAATCTTCCCCAAATGCAGGAGACATAGGAGATGTGGGTTTGGTCTTTAAGTAGGGAAGATACCCTGGAGCCGAGGGCATGGCAACCCACTCTAGTATTCTTGCCTGGAAAAGCCCATGGACAGAAAAGCCTGGTGGGCTACAGTCCATGGGGTTGCAAAGAGTTGGATACGACTGAGCAATTGCATACACACACATTCAAAATATAATTATTTCAACATGTAATAAATATTAAAAATTAATAAAATATTTTATAATCTCTTTCCAGACTAATTCTTTGAAGCCTGGTATGTATTTTATATTTATAACACATCTTGATTTGGACTAGCTAGTGGCTACCATGTTGATCAATCAGCATGCATGCATGCATGCATGCTCAGTAGTATCTGACTCTTTGTGACCCTATGGACTGTAGCCCACCAGTCTCTTCTGTCCATGGGATTTTCCTGGTAGGAATACTGGAGTAGATGGCCATTTCCTCCTCCAGGGGATCTTCCTGACCCAGGGATCAAACTTTCCTTGCAGGCAGGTTCTTCACTGCTGAGCCACCAGGGAAGCACCGATCACATAGCTCTAAATATCATTCTAGGAGAATATGAGGGTTTGTCCAGTATGAGCTCTTCCATCATTATGGGAAACAGAATCCTTGACTGATAGTTTTTAAACTTTACCCCTTGGTACTTCACAGAGGTGCTGTGGGCCAACTGAGACAAGGGGAAGGCTAAGCGCACTGAACCACTCTTCCCGATTATATATACATCTCAAGTCAATCAGACCAACTCTGATTTCATGTTTCATATATTTCATTTCTGTGCATAATTTAAAAAGATTTTGATACTAAAATAGTATGAAAACACAAATGACTATAGAATATGATTCTTGAGTGGGTCCCTAGGATCATTCTTGCTCAGTTATGCCCTTGAACCTATGCTGACGTCTCTTCTAGAGTCACTTACTCTCCTTTCTAATCATATCACAAGAGTCAGCTGTGTCTACTTTCAGGAAAAGAAGCTGTGGCCTCTCTGATACCTAAGTCTTTACAGTGGCAAGTTCTTTTCTTTAGCCCCACATGTGTGTGACTGATTGACTGATAAATCGATCAATCAACTGATAGGTTTGCAGGATGGCTGTTCACAACCAAATGCTCAAGACTTCCAGAAGTGAGCTGTTTCTCATGGCCTTCACCATTAGGGTAGAAAACTTCATTCTTAATTTTCCAAGGATCACATAAAATCACATCTCACCGTGCTTTCCCTTCTGGCTTCCCTCTCTCATTCACACACATTTTATCAGTTTGACAAAGAAAAGAGGGTGAGAAACAAAACCAAATGCTTTGTGATACTTTTCACCAGGTGAGCGGTACAAATTGAGTTTAAGAAACCCCCAAAACTGCCAGGTTAAAAGCCCAGCCTCTTTCAATTTTGGTTTCCTCAGGGTATATGCCTTAAAGCAATTATCCTTTAATAAAAAATAAATTAATTAAAAAAAAAAGTCCAGCCTCTTTACAAAAGCTATACATGCCTTAACCTGATGCACAGAACCACAAAACAAAAGCCACATACCTCAATGCTGGGCAGAACAGGAGGCCAGGCGTGATATTACATAATACAACAGAATCAGATACAAAGTCCCACTAAGATGGAAATAAGGAGGCTTTACTGATGAACACATTCCACACAATTCATCTCAGTTAACAACCCAAGAGAACATACTTTGGAGTACATGGCCATGAAAGCTAGGGTTGGAAACAGAAGTTCTGATGGATCCCAAACAATAAATAACTTACTGATGTTAATTTCAGCCACTAAATCACACCAATCACTAACACTAACCAATCAGAATCACTAACGCATACTCACAGGTGCTCACACTCTGAGCTCCTTTTCCTCCAAGATAGAGTAACTTGGAGGAGGTGACACGTGCCAGGTGAAAGTGTGTGGAGACGGCTATTTCTTTTTTCATGAGATGCTCTTAATGATCCCCTATGAGATGCCTTCCAGTGAGGACTATATACTGCTATCAAAGTTATGGCTTAGTAGCCAGAAATTGAGTATTTTGAACAATCAAAAATCACTCAGCAACAACTAGAGAACACAGAGCAAGACTGGTATTAATTGTGCATCACCATACCCCATTCATGGGTGCTGCCGCTCTGACCCTGAGGATCCAAGCTTGAGAATACAGCTCCTTACCGTGACTGGCATGGGTGCAAGTTGCACCTTCGAACCTGGGGCTCCGGGCGGCTGGCTTGAGGGCAGTCACTGTCGTTCACTAGAGTTGTGGTCTTGTTAACAATCCGTGTGCAGGACACGATGCTTCTGCGTTCCCCTGGAAGCCAAAATACACAGAATTGAGAGGCCATAGAACACATACCTGGAAAGGCCATTTATTCACCTTGTGGAGGAATGTTCAGGTGCATCTTGTGATCAGTCTGTCACTTAAAATGACTCTTATAATGCCTGTTGGTTGTCAGAGAGGGAGGATCGTAATCTTAGGGATGAGGGTGTGTGAGACAGGGCAGGGGTAGCAGGGGCAAGAGAAAGACCCTAGAACAGGATCAGAGAAGCAACGCTTCAGATCAGCGACGTTCTTGGACACCTTGGGGTTCACTGGGGCCAAAGTTCTGATTTGGGTCTCTAATTTCTAACAAAGATTACCAATCCCTATATCTGTTCATTTGAAGTCTACGGATATCTGGGCTTGATTAAACAACTGTACAACAGCCCTCACCAGAGATGACAGTTACTTATTACATAATTCCTGCTTTCTGGAGAGAAGCGAGAAACAGGAAGGCTTGTCTGAAGGACATAAACCAACCTGAAATTTTTTCTCCCTATCAACTGCTGTTCATGCCTGAGCATCACCTGCTCTTGGGAAGCTTCACTAACCCCAGCTGACTACACATTCATTCTTTTGGGTGCTTCCAAAGCACCCTGCACACTGCTTGGCCATGACTTTGTTAGGAGTGGGGATGAATGATTGGGAACCAGAAGGGCAGACTCTGGAGCCAGGCTCTCTGGGTTCAAACTTGGCTTATTAGCTAGCAGAGTGAGCACAGGATTGATAGCTATCAATCATGCTTCTGTGCCTTGGTTTACTCCACTGGGCTGGCTCACTTAACTTCCATGTGCCTTAGGATGCTTTCAGTTCATTTCAGTTCAGTTGCTCAGTCATGTCCAACTCTTTGCAACCCCATGAATTGCAGCACGCCAGGCCTCCCTGTCCATCACAAACTCCCGGAGTTTACTCAAACTCATGTCCATTAAGTCGGTGATGCCATCCAGCCATCTCATCCTCTGTCGTCCCCTTCTCCTCCTGCCCCCAATCCCTCCCAGACCCTCCCAGGATCTTTTCCAATGAGTCAACTCTTCACACGAGGTGGCCAAAGTATTGGAGTTTCAGCTTCAGCATCAGTCCTTCCGATGAACACCCAGGACTGATCTCCATTAGAATGGACTGGTTGGATCTCCTTGAAGTCCAAGGGACTCTCAAGAGTCTTCTCCAACACCACAGTTCAAAAGCATCAATTCTTCAGCACTCAGCTTTCTTCACAGTCCAACTCTCATACATGACCATTGGAAAAACCATAGCCTTGACCAAACGGACCTTTGTTGGCAAAGCAATGTCTCTGCTTTTAAATATGCTATCTAGGTTGGTCATAACTTTCCTTCCCAAAGAGTAAGCGTCTTTCAATTTCATGGCTGCAATCACCATCTGCAGTGATTCGGGAGCTCCAAAAAATAAAGTCTGACACTGTTTCCACTGTCTCCCCATCTATTTGCCATGAAGTGATGGGACCAGATGCCATGATCTTAGTTTTCTGAATGCTGCATTTTAAGCCAACTTTTTCACTCTCCTCTTTCACTTTCACCAAGAAGATTTTTAGTTCTGCTTCACTTTCTGCCATAAGGGTGGTGTCATCTGCATATCTGAGGTTATTGATATTTCTCCTGGCAGTCTTGATTCCAGCTTGTGTTTCTTCCAGCCCAGCGTTTCTCATGTTGTACTCTGCATATAAGTTAAATAAGCAGGGTGACAATCTACAGCCTTGACGTACTCCTTTTCCTATTTGGAACCAGTCTGTTGTTCCATGTCCAGTTCTAATTGTTGCTTCCTGACCTGCATATAGGTTTCTCAAGAGGCAGGTCAGGTGGTCTGGTATTCCCATCTCTTTCAGAATTTTCCACAATTTATTGTGATCCACACAGTCAAAGGCTTTGGCATAGTCAATAAAGCAGAAATAGATGTTTTTCTGGAACTCTCTTGCCTTTTTGATGATCCAGTGGATGTTGGCAATTTGATCTCCAGTTCCTCTGCTCTTCTAAAACCAGCTTGACCATCTGGAAGTTCACGGTTCATGTATTGCTTTAGAGATGGTTAAAATGAATTGATATATAAAGTGCTTAGAACAGAACCTGGTAGGGGTTAATACTTTATGTTAGCTATATTATAATAAAAGATTAACAGAAAGTCAAGCACAACTATGTGGATCCTACACTCCTCAGTTTGTCTTTTGGGGAATTTGTCACGGTAGAGCACTGAACTTGAGTGAGCATAGAAAGCAGAGATGCCTCAAGCCAGATTTTGGATTGGGATGCAGGTCAGGGAGCTGGGAGTCATTGGTGCCATAAAAGGTTGTGATAGTGAGAACAGCAGAACAGCACCCCTTACCTCCAGCCAGTGAAGCCTGCTAAATCTTGCGTTGGGGCCATGCTGAGTTTGCAGCAAGTTGGCTTGGAGGAAGTTTGGTGCCACCAGCCCTGCAGGACCAGTGCCATGCCCACGTCTCACCTGCCAGCCCACCCTCTGGGTTGGCATTCCAGGGTCCAGGTCAACCTTCTGTTCTAACTCTGTCCATCAACATTTACCCGACTTGCATCCATCCAATGACCCTGCTCTGTGTCTCGTCAGGGTGCTGTTGGCTAAGAGTTCAGAATGCTTCCCTTCACTCCTCCTAAACAACACAGTAATGACTATGATGTTCTTTGTTCATATTGATGTTTATAGTATTTGAGTTTCCTCCTGCAGTGGGCAATGAGGGCTGATCATCCTTTTTTGGAGGTGAGGAAATTTAGGTACAGAGAGAATACATCATCTGCTAATAAATGGAGGCAAGTCCTGAAGCCAGAACTCAGGCCCAGAGTATTTCACTGGAGTTGGAGGACTTTTCTTTCCATTATATTACTGCTGATTCCATGGGTTTCCATGTATTTCTACTGGTGACTGTGGCAAAAAGGAAAGGGTATTTGAAGGTCAGAAACATCTTCTGGTGCCCTTTTACCAAGTGCATCAGGTGAAAGTCTGTTCTGTGCACCCCCAGGGTCACCTGTCACACTTGTGACATAGCTACACATTAGCCAAACCTCCACTCTGATCAGCATCAAAGGCTGTAGGCAAAGCAGCCACATGGATGCAACTTCAGCCTGGAGGAGTTTGGAAGCAGACACTGCCCAGAGAAATTTGCAGCAGGATGCAGGTACATTCCACAGAAATACAAGTTACTTACACGGTCAGCCTTTCCCAGTCAATGTGCACTCGCCACGGAGTGCCCTGAATTCACTTCTCCTCTGTTTGGTAAAACCCCACACCCAGTGAGCCCCAACCCTGCTGCTCACCTCCACCACACTGCACACTGCACCCTTCCCAGCCGCTGTGGGTCCAGATGAACAAGGAGTCCTGGGGTTTTTCTGGTTCGCTTTGGTTTTCAGTGGTGTAGTTTACAGGAATGGTGTATTCATAATGAATTCCATAATTTTGGTCATGAAATAACAACACCTGCATCAGCAGCAAAATAAAAGGCCACTGTGAGACAGAGCAAGAGCCCAAGAATTGCTGAGCTTGCAAGCCAAGCCATGTTGTGGCTGTCTTCCCACTAGGGGTAGCCCATTCTTTTGGGGGTTTCAAAACAGGTTCATTCCAGGGGCACTCCTTTATTTCAGTTTTGGTTTCCACAGATACTCAACTTGGGGGCTGGAGCATATGTAAACCATTGGTACTCTTTTCCACTGGAGAGAGGACTGGTTTAGATGAGGGATTTGGGGATAAGCCAGTCTGAGTGCTCTAACTGCACTTTACATGCTCCATGTAATCACCCACGAAACTGCCCTTGTGGGTGAGAAAGACACAAATGTAATGCTTTTTCTAAACAGGCATCTGAACAAGTAGGGTGACTCCTCTGAAAATAAACACCACTCTTCACTCCCCGAGCACCAGTCACTGCCATGGGTAAGGCAGGCTCCAGGTTAAACACAGCCCCTACAAGGGAACCTCGTGGATGCCTGTCAAGGATGCAGGAGCCTTCCTGTACTATGGGAGGTAGGATCGTGATAAGGCCCACAGGGTGGCACAGGGCTTAAAGCTGGGAGTGAGGCGTGGGGGAGCCACGATCCTGCAGCTTGGGGACCCTGGGGTCTGAGATCCTAGCAAGTGGGCAGGTGGAGGGGCCTTCTTTTAGTTTGGTAATGCATTTGACAAGCCTTGTAAGCACAGGGGTGCTCTACTGGCTTTATTTCTTTCTGTGTACTTAGTGGTGCAAAACAAGCTCTTTTGTGGGAGCTTCAGATGGCCTGGCTGTTGGTGGTACATCTTCAGCCCAGGCTTGGAACTGGGTGGCACTCCTGGGTCTATGCAGCCAGCAACTTCGCTTCCAGGCTGGGGTTCTGGGAGAGCCGTCAGCGGGAGCTGGAGGCAGAAGGTGCTCCATCTGACCTGAGGGAGGCCAGGCGGAAAGTGTGCCAGACAACAGGAGTTGCTCTCCCGCCCAAGCGTCTCCCAGCCCTCGTAAGGCTGGAGTTGCAGGGTGGGGGTGGGGTGCTAAGAGCAGCCCAAACTGAATAAACATCCACTTCTCCAAGAAATAGACTTGCAGTAATACATTTGGAAAAATGCCTTCAGTTTAAAAAAAAAAAACAACTCTTTAAAAGAGATCTTTATTATCTCAGTATGGGAATAAGACTGGTGAATTGAGAATCCATATGAAACCAATTTCATGCAATTTTGTAGCCACATATAATTTGTGTGTGCATGTACATAATTGGTTTCAAATGCAGGTCCCCATGGCTATATGGGTGCTCCTGACCTCAAGCAATGAGCACACCTCAGTTCGGGGACAATGGATTTCCCTTCAGAGGAAGACCGGCTCATTTCTACGTTTAAAAACTGGAAGTAACTAGCAATCATATTTCAAGAGAGAAAAGTGATTAATATTCAAGAAGGCAGGAACTTCAGCTGTGGCAGTTGTTGCATTCCCCGAGTTTTGTTTACCATGGTCTGAATGAATCCAGGCTGTGCATTTGCTTTAATGGGCTGACAATTCACTCACAGTTTATGCAAGCTTTGGGGAAAGAAGGGAAATAGACCCATCTTGGTGTTTGCTAGAAAAGCAACTTCATGTGCTCACAGGTGATACTGCTATCTTGGGTTCTATCTTGTCTTTCACTTCCTCTTTTAGTCCCTCTGAATGACTGCTTTTAAGTCAGGACAGCAGGACATGTTCCAGTGACTTAGATTAGGAAACAATCTAATCACAGAGAAATGGCTTGGGTACAGGCTTCCCCAGTGGCTCAGCGGGTAAAGAATCTGCCTGCCATGCAGGAGACATGGCAGATGTGGATTCAACCTCTGGATCAGGAAGATCCTCTGGAGGAGGAAATGGCAATCCACTCCAGCATTCTTGCCTGGAAAATCCCATGGACAGAGGAGCCTGGCGGGCCACAGTCCACGGAGTCACAAGAGTCAGACACAACTGAGCGCATTAAGTGTGCACAGGCTCTTAGGTCCCAAAATCAACTTTTAAGCGTATATCTGCAGTAGCTTTAGTGTGTGGATTTTTGCACTATGTCAGCCATGGGAACTAGCTCCCTTTGCTCTTATTGGAAATTGTAACAGGCTTAGGGCCATTGTGGGATACATCTCTGCTCACTTGCAGAGCTGGTCTCCTCAGGAGATTCTTACTGAGAGGTGGCCTGGGAATCTCTCGGGTATCACCTAATCTTAAACAGATGCCAGCTGCCAGAAACCACAAATTAATGGGGATGATAAGAACTTCCAAGCAGAGACTTCCGGCGGCATGGAGGACAAACTGTGCTTTGATTACATACACACAAGCTGTCACAATTCCCATTCTTTGGAAGGAGACATGGAATCAATAATTAAGAGCTATCAAAAGTTAGCCACGAGAACTCCTGAACCCTGAGAAGGCAATGGTGGCATTCTTTTCCCTGGAAATCTTTCATAGTCTTAAAAGGCAGTATAACCAAATATTTCATGGGGTCCTTCCTGAGACAACATGTAAGACCAGAGTGCCCTGATCTGCCCCAACTCCACAGATTTCCTGAGACCATCTGGGGAGTAAATAGTCCAGTAGAATTTGTTTCTGTCTCAATTCCTGAAGGCTTGTTACAAGCTGAGCCTGGAAAACCTGAGTGGTGTCGGTTTGGAAACAGAGGCAATAGTTTGTTTTCAAAAGGTAGTTTCTGATGTAATTATACAAACCGTGGGGCAAATCTAAGCCACAAAACAGACTGTGAGTGGGACTGTCTGCTTAATGATGCCAGGTCTCCCCGGCGGCCACATGACTAAGCATTTCCATCCTGGAGGCGGTTCCTTTTGAAAAAGATGGGAGTTCTGCCAGTAAAAAGCCAAGGCAAAATTTTGAGAGGGCAGCATTTTGAAGCATGTAGTGAAAAGGATTACACAAGGAAAAGACCAAGGGAGAGACTTGAGCAGCAGGGGCCAGGTAAACCACCAAGAACCAAGCATACCTCCTCCCACAGGGCCCCAGGGAAGAAGTCAACTGGTAGACCTCTAGGACCCAGCCGACTCAGGACAAATACAAAAGCACAGCAGATACCATCAGATGCAGCGGCATTTTGGTTGGTCCCTTGGCAGAAATTTTCTCCCACAGGCCCCTTCGAACATAGCGGACGGTTGTGCCTGCAATCTGGAACTCTCCGGGGAGCTCTATCTTCCAGTCACTGTTGATGGATCTCTTACTGGAGTCCTTGAGAGCTAGAAAGAAAATGGAACACCACAGAATTGGGGGAGTCAGCCTGTTTTTGAAGGGAGTCAGCGTGTCTTGACGGGTGGGTTGGAGGTCTCATGCTCCGCCTCCACAGGGCAGAAGAGGGAGGCCTGCCGTGAGGGAAAGGGAGCTTTCTCTGAGAACAGAAGGCTGGCTCACAGGCAGAGAGCAGCTCCTGACCCCAGGTCCCTGAGTGAGAGCTGCCTCGACTCCTGCGCCTCAGAGCGTGGGGTGGTGTCTCAGAATCGGCTCACACAGAGGGGGTGTCGGGAGGAGTGCCAGAGGATGCAGACAGCCACACACAGCCCTATCGCATTTCACTAGACTTACAGAGTAGGGGATTTTCTGCCGGATGAATGGATTCTATTTCCACATGTCCAAGTCTCCAAAACAGGTTTTGCATCTTTAGCAAAATTCTTTCATTTCACTCTTACCTACCTGGGGCTTTTTAGAGGGCAGCCTAACTCTAGTGTCCCTCAGGGATCTGATAACCCCAGATTAGTGAAGTAGATGCTCCTTCAAGAAGCAAGTGTCCTTGTACCAAAGACGGGAGTCTCTCACCCTGAGCTGCTTACAGACAGACATGGCAGTAAGTCAGCTGATGCCATGTGAGTGGCAGGGCTGCGCCCACCCTCAGCTTCATGGCCTTTGCCAGGTTCACACTTTGCTCTCTCGAAGTGTGTTGGAACTGACATTCTGCTGACTGGCCATAGCAAAGATTTGGTTTTCCATACAAGCCATGTATTTATTATCATCTGACTGCTCACCCGTAATTTCTTTGTTTTTTCCTCACTTAGGCTTTAGAGTCATGTGGTTCTCATGAGAGAGCATTCTACAGTGAAATTCTGGGCTTTTTTGGTTTGTTTTGCTTTGTTATTCAGGAAAGTAAACAATGATTATAGAACCTACTCTGACAAGTAAGAGAAGGTGGTAAATAAAAATAGTCAATACCAAGTCTTTATGTTACTCAAAACACAAAACTCTCTGTGCACCCCAAGTCCAATGCCACATTCTTTGCCAGCACCCCTGAACCCTGCACAGTCCACAATCAGCGAAATCAGGTTCCCCACCCTTTGCTTATAAGGTCAGAAACAAAATGCCCACCAGTTTTGGATAATGAGAGTTGAAACCCACAAGTAGTTTCAGTTAAGCCTGAGCCCACGAGCCCTGGGCTGGGTTAGGACCTGATGGGTCCGACCCTGGTCAGGTCACAAGCAGCTGGGGGTGCTGCCCTCTGCTTCCTGGTCTGCAGGACATGGTGGTCCCGGCGAGCTCCCCTGCCCCGAGGGGGAGGTGCAGGCTCAGCACTCCGCCTTTACAGGAACCACCAAGAGAAACCAAGGGGTCTGGGTAGGGCCGCCTCCCAGTAGGACAGCTTCCAGGAGGGGTCACACTCAGTGAGCATGGCTGTGGATTACAGGACTCCAGGAACGGCTTTGAAAAGAGAAAGCTCCGCCACTTAGAACCCAATGTTTCCCTTCAAAGAATTCCACCCACTCTTGGGATTTCCTGGCTACTGGAAGGAAGCAAGTCTGTTGGGATACTCACAATTTCTGCTCATTTTTCTCTTCTTAGCCACCGCCTGCAAGTCCGCATATAAAGGGCACATTCTCCATATGCTTTTACCCATTTGACCTTCCCAACAGCACTCTAAGGTAAAGGATTACTGTCTTCTTGCTCACAGATGAGGAAATGGGGGCACAGGGAGGTTCCGTAACCTGCCTGAAGTCACACAGCTATTGTCACGTGGACACCTGAACCGAAACAGATCAAGGTCCCACATTCGTTAGGTTACAGCACAAGTCTAGAGTTTTATGACAGACGCTGAAATGTGCAAATGTCATATTCTCCCAGAGAACACATTCCAACCTCAGATCGCTGTGATGCCTCATGTTCTACATATCCTCATAAAAACAACCAACTTTGTGGTTTTCCACAGCTTCCAGTGAACTACCAACCTACAAGTACTTCCGGCCCAAGGGTACATGGGTGTTCACTGCTCTTTCAATTCATCTGCAGGTTTGGACATTGTTTTCTTACCTCTTTCTGAGGGCCTTGTAGCTGGTGCTGAAGACACAGCTCCTGCCCTGAGGAGCTCAGGGTCTGAAAGCAAGGTGGGCTAGATGACAGATGAACATGAGCCACTTGTGGAAGCTCTGAGACAGAGGCCAGTCCAGGGCTCAAGCGTGCATGTGGGCAGAGACCGGGCCGCCGGGGAAGGCCTTCTGGAGGGGGAGCCCAGAGCTGAGATGGCAGGAAAGGCAGGGAGCAGAGGCGGCCGGAGTGCCTGGCAGCTTGGATTTGCTCCCTGGCTCCCTGATAAGCTCAGTTTCTGTGCAGAGTCGGGGGGTGGGGAGGGAGGCACCCTGCCCATGCGGAGGAGCAAGAGGAGGTGGCAGAGAGAGGCTGCAGAAGTGGAGGAGAGGGGAGGCTTACTGTCATTGTCACTGGGCTGGGGACGCTTGAGCGGGTTGAGAATCTCTGTGACTTGGAATCAGCGAGATGAGCAGAATGAGTTTCTGTGAAGCTGGGTGCTGACCACCATCACTCTGGGACCTCCCCAGAGCCCCTTTCCCTCGCAGAGACCAGGCACACGGGGGCGGCCCGCCCCTCCCATCTCAGCCTGCGCGCGCGCCCCAGTCGGCTCCTGTACTCAATGCCCCTGGCCGGGCCTGGTCATGCTCCACTTTAGGGCTTCTGTGAACATCTCGTGTGTTGCTCCCTCATCTCTTCCTCTCCTTTTGCAAGTAACACCCCCCCGGAGGAGCTTCTGGGGATGTGTTCTTCCCCAGTCATGAGGGGCTAATCCTAAACTCCTCACCTCCAGGAGGGGGTCCACTACCCAACTCTGGACAGGAAGAGTCGATTCTAACACTTGCATTCACCGTGGGAAGCAGCAGCTCTCTTTCCCAAAGTTGCCCAGAGACTTGATCTAAGTCTGAGTCTCCCAGTACGTGGCAAGAGGCCCTCAGATTACAGTCCACTGAGGCAGAACAGCAGTGCCGGGATACAGACATCATTTCCCATCATTTTAAGCCCCTGGATCCAGCAGTACCTGAAATCAGTACTCAGAAACTGAGAACTGGGTTTAGCTTCCACATGTCACATTTGGAGGTTGGTGGGTTTTTTTTAATCATTAAGTGCTTTATTTGCTAAAGGTTGTAATACCTCCATTTTTACATGACTGATTTCAACCCACTTCTTTATACTTACACATTTTTCCATCTCTAAACCATCCTTAAAGAAAATCCTATACGGGGTTACACCATCCTCACGGCAGTCCAGCAGAGCGACCATGCCATCTGGATTCATGTTTTCACCAATAAAGAACTGATCGTTTTTGAAATTAGCAAGGATGTGCTTGATTTGTTCTGCAGCCCCTGTCATGAAAGGTTTTCCTCTTTCTGGTCTCTTTTGTTCAAGTTTCCCTTTGACTGACTTCATGTAATCTTTGATGTACTACTTGTAGGCTTCTTTTGTGAAGCTGGTTTCCTGCAAGTGATGGTTCATGACAATATCGACACCAGTGATTACTGTGCTTTCGGTACCTTCGCCCTCGGGGCCTTCAGCGGAGGCATTTCCACCAGTGAGCGAGTCATCGATGTTACCCTCTGTCCTACTGACCATCTTCCCCTCCACCTCCAGACACAGCCCGTCCGCGACCTCCCGGATCTTGTAGATGTCGGAGAACTTCTCGTCATGGCTAATGAGGTACCAGTAGATGATCATGATGGCGACTGGAGGGAGGTGACAGCGGCGCTGGCTTAGCAGGAGCCCGGAGCTCAGAGCGAGCGCAGTGCGGCCGGAGCGGCGCTCGGGGGCAGGGGGGAGCGGGCGGAAAAGCGGAGGTTGGTGTTTTAAAAACATTAACCATGATAGAAGCAGGGCAGGTTGAGAAAGAAAGTGACTAGTATGGATTTCTAGAAGTCATACTAGGATCCTTACTGATGTCAGCTTAGTACCCTCTGAGACTCAGGAAGGCACACTCCATCCAGGTCTTAAACTCTCTCCAGGACCCTGCCCTATCCGGCACTTGTTCAGGGTGAGATGGCTCTGTCTTACTTGGCCTTGTTTCCAAGGTGCTTTAACAGGACTTACTGGATTATGAACTGAAAACCACGCCACCCTCGTGCCAAAAGGAAAGCACCTGGGAGGTCAAGAGTGGGAAAACTAGAAAAAGTGCAGGAGGGCACAGCTGGAGCCAATTATAACCCATCCACAGAAATGCTGCACAGAGGTGTGGGCATTGCCTGGGGAAGCCCCATTTCTGTGGGCAGAGGCGCCCGCCATGGGTCCCACGAGGAACAGACAGAGCCTGTGGGTGCTGTGCACGCACCACCCTCTCACCATGAGGGCAGGATCCTGTGGGGCGGTAGGGGTGAGGGGAGGAGACGTTTCCATAGGCGGTCCACAGGCTGGGAGGGGGAGGTCATAGGGGGTGAAAGCGGCCAGGGAAGGCAGAGGGCAAGCAAAGTGGCAGGCAGTGGCTCTCCCGGGATTCCAGAAAGGCCAGGAGCGGGAGGGGGAGGAACACGCCTGACGGCACAGTGCTGGGGACAGGCTCTCTGGGGAAAGCAGCCTAGACTTCCACTGCTTGTCACTACTCAAGCTGTAAAGGCGCCCCCATGGCAGATTTCAGTTAGCCATGTGAGCTCTGTGAATGCAGAGCTGGGAAGAGACGCAAACCATCAGCCTTCCCATCCACACCCTGCTGCTGGGCACTCTCACAACTTCTGAAGGCGCCTGTCTGGGCTTTGGAGGTCGTGGCCTGCTGAATCGGCAAAATCTCACTGTCACAGCTTCAGGGGGGCTGTGTATGGGGGGGCTCTCATGGCCCCAGAAAGAAGAAATTTGCCTGTCCAAGCTCTGCTGCGGCCATCTGCACAGCAGCCGGAAGCTTCCAGAAATGCAGCCAGTTTTACCACTGCCTCTTGACCCCCTCATCTGAACACGGCAACCCTTCCTTGGGACAGTGGGCTGGTGATGACAAGCCTTCATGCATTTTGCACGGGAGGAAAACTCAGAGGCAGAATTATAAGGAGGAGGCCAGCAATTCCAAGAATCATGGGGATTGCTGCAAGCCCACTGACTCTGGGGTGAGTCATTTAGGCAGCTGGATCCAAAATATGCAGGCTGCTATGGTCCATGCCGGAATTCTGAACTTCCTGCTAAAACTGGGTGTTAGCACCTGACATCCTTTCAGAAGAGTAAGACTGCAGCCTCAGAAAGTCTGCTGGAATGTCAAAATCTGAATATCACTGACAGTGGACAGGTTCAGTGTGGAGTCCGATGAGAAAACCACCCTGTGGGGCCACGTCAGCCCCAGAGAGGGCAGGCGTGCGGGTTGCTCCTGGCCCGCCTGCAGCAGTCCCCTAGAGCGAGCTTCCCAGAGCAGGGTTTGCGTGAGCCAGGGGAGTTGAAGCTCCAGGGCCCCTCGTGGGGCCCTTTCCAAGGCTGTATACAAAATGCATTCTGTTCCTTAAAGAAGCTCTCCAAAATTAAATAAGTTTTGGGCTCCGGAAATTCCTGTTCCTCTCAATCCTTGGCATCAATGGTATTTGCAAGCCCCCTTCATCTGTAAGCATTTTGAAATGAATTTGTATTTGAAATTAGAATCTTTAGGCTGAGAAACTCAACAGGGGCTGTTATGCTGTTGCTCAGTTGCTCAGTGGTATCCGACTCTTTGCGACCCCATGGACTGCAGCATGCCAGGCCTCCCACAAACGCTCTGCTCTGACAAAGAAATAATGGAGTTAGGAACAAAGGGGATTCCAGAGCAATGTGATCCTATCTGTAATGTCAGAAGTTTGGATTCACTGGAGAGGAGATTTTCACTTGCTGGTCCTGCCTCAGTCAGAAGTTAGATGTTTAAACCCTACCCCAAATGCAGCAGTACTTGCTTTTGTGTGTTTTGCTCAGGAGCTACTAGAAGCCTTTCAACAGCTGAAGAGACTTTCGTGGGATGAAGATGAGTACATGCTTTCCCCTGCTACCACGGCAGAGCCAAACCTCTTCAAAACTGCCCCAAGTGTGAGGTCACGTGGGGACCATCTATTTTCATCCAGCCCTCCTGTCTCTGCAGACATTGACATGATGTCCCTGGACTTCCGGGCACCACGGGAGATCCTGAGCCTTTCCGGGGCCTGGGGAGGGGGCATTCCTGCTGGGATGGTTGGGCTCCTCTCTGGACTGCCTGGAGGCAGACAGAGGGGGTCAGACCCTGTCCGCATGCCCACTTCTCGCCCAGCACTGTGAAGAAGCCGGGCTCCTTTCTGTCTCTCTGCCTCCTGGATTCCACTGGAAGACTTGACTCACATTCAACCTACTTCTCATCCTGGCATTGAGGCAGCTCCTTTTATTTCCACTTGGAGTTCTGCCAGCTCCCCTCTCAGCTATGGATGCAAACTGCAGAGGCATTTCCTGTTCAGGTGGTTTCGAGCAGAAAGCCAGGCAGCGTGGGTTGAAGGTAGGTGGGGTGAATTCTTCAGGAACTGCTCCCGCAAACGGGAGAGCAATTCAAAGTTACACAGGGTTGATATCCAAAGCACCCAGCCCTGGGTGTATAAGAGGCTTGTCTGAACTAACTTTAGAAACATATCAAGCATGGACCACCTTCAGATTTTTCTTGTGTACACACCAGGCCTTAGAACACTGGAACTGTGATTTGCAGATAAGATAAGGTGGCAAAGTTTGGCTCCAACCTCCCAGGGCGGTCCAGTGCTTCTAGGGAGCTGAGAATTCATCCTGAGACATTGAACCTATCTCCTCAGATGGACACGTGCTTCTCTGAAATCCACACATTACAGCAGTAGCAAAGGGCAGGTTTAACATGTTCTCCAGTGAAAAATCGCCTCCACCTGATCTCTGGCTGTGACAGACACCTCCGTGAACTGCAGCAGGCCAAGCTGGAGAGGAGCTTGGATGAGCGGCTGAACTCCCAGAGCCCTGGCTTCCTCCTCAGTGAATTAGGCACAGCGACACTCTGGTATATTTGGGGGGTCAGGGGTCAGGCCTTCAAAGCAGAGCAGAGCTTAATGATTGGGATGCACGATGCCAGTACCAGTGTTGTTATTGGAAGGTGTGGCCCTCGGCATCAGGGACAGAGAGGGACCACCACAAGAGCTGGCTCCCCCGGTGGCATCCACTAGGTGTTACTTGTTGGCCCTAACACAGGTTCCAGTGAAAAGTCATCTTCACTACAGGAATCAGATGCCGAGGGATCTGAAGGATTCTGACACACTTCTGTCTAGTCTTGTATCACACAGAAAAGCAGACATAAGGATCATGTTCCTGCTTTTACCAGATCCCTGGGGCTGGAGGAATGGTGCTGGGAAGTCTTAAGGGCAGGACAGGAAGCTGAGGAGCTTACTTGCAGGGCACATACTGGTGCTTTATGGAATTGTCCCAGCACCTGAGAAACTGGGATCATGAGTTTTGAATAAGATAAAGGTCAAAGGTGATGTCAGATTCCCACAGAGGCCCAGTGCTTCTGGGGAGCAGAAATATCTCCAGGTAGGGGAGGGCCAATGGACCAGTTGGCAAGGCTAACTTTTGGCATGACACTGGGTGATGGGGCCCCAAGACAAATGCTGATAAAGTTGACCAAATTTCTTTAGATGGGAAGAAAGAAGGGGCTGGTATTCTTCGAGAATTTAGTAAAAAGGCCGTCACTTTGAAAAAGCTGCTGAGAGTAGTGTAGGCCCTGTTTTGGAAGCACTTACGGGCATCACTGTTTATAAACCAACAGCTGGGATGGCTGCAGAGAAGAGTGCCAGGCTGGACCGGACCAGCACGGGAAAAACCACAGGGCTGATGAAGACCCACGTGGATGCCAACCTGAGGGACAGCAGGCCCAGGCTGGCAGCAGAAGAGCAATGCCCATTATGGCTTCCAGGATGCGGGTGGATGGCGGCAGGTGAGAGAGTTGGGAGGGGCAGGGCTGTCTGGGACCCAGTAGGGACCCTCGGGGGCTGCTTGCCCAGAGCCTGGTGTAGGCACTTAGAAACAGGAGCTCCTGCGCCCACACTGCGTCAGGAGTGAGAGGGCTATCTCTGTGTCTGTCAGTGGTTCGCAACTCCTCTATAGGATGGTGGTCTTCGCTTGCACCTGCCTGCTAGAGGTTTGGTCCGTGTCCGTCTCATCAGACTTTGGGTTTTTCAAGTGGAGACCATTTCAAAGAAAGACTTAGATACTTTTATATCTACAAAGAAAGGAATGTGGACAAAGCCATGTTTTTAAAAATCAGGATAAAGGTTGAAATAAAAGCGTTTCATGAGTAAACTTCAATTTAGCCAAAATAGCTTAACTCTTAAGTTTGAAGTCAGAAAAAGATCACATCTTACGTAAAAAAATCTAAAATAGCACCTTGCCACACAGATGGGGAGACACAACATGAAGATGCTTGAGAAGGGTGCCTGGGTAGGAGGTGAGCCACCTCCAGTGTGAAATCCAGCCCAAGACAGGAACGCGGGAGCAGGGCTGGGGGGACGGGGGCACAGCACGGCCCATCCCAGTGAACTCAGGGCAGAGGCAGGCCCTGCGCGTGGCGGCATTCAGAACAGCTGTGTGTCAGCTCAGCACTAGGACCACCCTGGTACTTGAGCACAAGCTGGAACTTTCGGGGACTCATGGAGAGCCTGAGAATTGAGTTTAGGACACACGCAGAGGATCTTCGGAGGCTAAGAAGGGGCTAAACGGAACAATCCTTGGGCTTTAAGCACACTTCTGTCAGCTCTGTCAAAGGCAATGAAGACCAGTGTGGAATGCAACTTAATCCTTCTACAGAAAGATGAGCAATCATGTCTGACATCCATGGACTTGGCACTGGGAATTTGGGGCACACGGTACTTAGTAAAACCAGTGTTCTTTTGGGTTTTCATTAGATTCAGAGCAGTTAATTCTTTTTCCAGATAAGGAGTCACCCCTAGAGCCATCGACAGCCTACGGGAGCTCCTACAAGTTAGGGTGTGCACCCTCACTGCTCAGGCTCTGGCTGTCTGAGCTCTCCTGGGCTTGCTTTGGGGGACTTAGGCTACCCCAACTCCTCACAACTTCCTTCATTCACTCTTCCGTCACCTGCCTTCCTGTCCAAGGCTGGTGGCTCCTGTTCACCCATCCCCTCACCCGCCTTGGGGTTGCCAAGGTGGATGCACTTAACCAAATACAACAGAACTGCTTGGTACATGCTGATTACTCACTACACCTAAAATATGAGTTAAATCAACGGCCTGAGAGCACCGTGTCAGCATTTTGCTGAACCAAATGAGCAGCTTGATTGTCCAAATTAATGTTCAGAACATACACTATGAGTCAAACCATTTTTGTTTTACCCAGAAAACTGTGGGCAGGTTTATCCTCCACCACACGAATCCTTCGAGCTCCAGCTGGAATGATGGCAGCTTCAATATAACCTGTAGTGACAGATAACACACAGGTGAACCAACACACCTCCACCCACCATTAGAGGCTTATAGCACTCCCCACCAAAACCCACTGCTCCACCCCCATGGTGACTTCAGAGCGCTGAGAAATCAAGCTAGCCAACTAATTAGAAGCGTTCTTCTATGGCCAGAATATCCTGGCTGCCCAAATTCCAGAGAGCACCATTTGCATGTGTTATGAGTTGAACTAGGTCCCTCACACCCCCAAATCCATATGATGAAGTCCCCAGGACCTCAGAATGTGACCTTGTTTGAAAACAGGGCTGTTGCAGATGTAATTAGTTAAGACGAGGTCACACTGGAGCAAGGTGGGCCCCCAGTCCTATATGACTGGTGCAATTATAACAAGAGGAAGACTGGACACATACATGTACACAGGGAGAATTCTGTGTAATCATGAAGCGGAGATCAAGATGATGGCTCTTACAAGCCGAAGACTGCCAGCAAAACACCAGAAGCAAGAGAGAGGCATAAGACAGATTCTTTCTCACCTTCGTGAGAAACCAACACTGCCGACAATTGATCTCAGACTGCTAGCCCCCAAACTGAGACAGTGTGTGTCTCCTGTTTATGCCTCCCCGTGGACGGTACTTGCTTGCAGCAGCCCCAGTAAACCAGGAGCCTGGAGTTCTGTGTGAAGAGCACTGCCCTGGAGCACGGGTGCTAAAAGTCCCCGGCCACATCATCTACTGGGTTCCTTCCATCTTTGCTGTACTTTGTCCCTGGTTCTATGGGATGACGGCAGAAGCTGGGCTACTTGCCCTATGGCAAAACCACCACCTTATCACCGGGTATCATTTCCTGCTTTCACTGCCCTTTGGACTTTGCTGCAGCCACTGCAGTGTGTACTTCTGTCCACTTCCCTGAGTATTTCCACGTATAATGGGGTCCTTCAGAGGCCAGGGCCTTCTGCCCATGCTCTGACCCCACACATGCCCAAAATAGCAGGTGGTTAGTGAAGTTCTGGAAGGAAATGACTGAGGCTGCCAGGGAGGAAGTCAGGGGCTGGCTAAAGCCTGGTTAACTGGGCAACTGCATCAATTAATGAGCCCAACATAATAGCGAGATTCTGAAATGTAGGCTGGTAATCACTTGGTTTTGGTTTACATTCGGGTTTTAGACAAAGGTAATATACATTTGCTTCAGCAATTTAGATGATGATCCCAAATTAGATGATAAATCCTACCTACCCCTGTGGCTCCCAAATGTGATCATCAGAATCAGCCATGGAGTTTTAAAAATGAGAAATTTCTGGGCCCAAGTATGTAGAGATTATGGAAATACCTATTTTGAGGAGTTTATTTCCTTATTTTCTCATAGTAAACATGGCTCAATTTTCATTATAAATAAAGTATATGGTAATTCAAACCACCAAAAGGGGAAAACTAAAAACAAACTATACTACATTGAAAATTACCCTTATATTTGGTGACCAGCCTTTTCAGCAACTTTTAATGCATATAAACATAGGCACATCATTTTATGCCAACAGAATACTGTATATAGTTTTAAAAGATCAGGGACAACTTTAAAATAATTAAGAGTTTTGTTTGGCAATGTGTACCCAAAGGGCAAAATTTTAAAGTTATAAAAGGATACAGTAGAAAGTATATTGATACCATAAGATATTAGATTGGTCAAAGACTCCTATAAAAATGCAAATGAACTTTTTGACCAACTCAATATATCCTATAGTTGGCTGTCTTTCTAACAATTATCATTTATAATAATTTGTGTATTTTAGCTGGGTTTCTATGTTGCTAACTGAAATGTGCACAAATGACAGTTTTGTTTCTTCCTTTCTGATCTTTATCCCCTGGATTTCTTCTCCTTTCACCATTCTGGCTGGAACTTACAAAACCACATTGTAGGCCACATGAGATAGTGACATCCTTGTTTTATTCATGAAGTTGGAGGAAGGGAGTTTTCCCACTGAAAATGACGTCAGCAGTGCGAATGTGATAGGCATCATTTGTCAGGTTAGGGAAGTCCTCTTTTCCCCTAGTTTGTTAAGAGCTTTTGTTATGAAGAGGTATTGAAGTTAATCAAGTGCTTTTTTGCATCTAGTGAGATCATCCTACTGTTTTTCTGCCAAACAATACAAAGACCTCAGAGCAGTTTAATGGCAGTCACGCTAACATGGTGTGTGGGGCAGTATCTTAGCTCTGGTTTCCCTCATCCATCCATTTTAGTTCATTGTTATCTCTTCTTTATTCTGATGTTTTCTTGTAAACCTTTAATTGTATTTACACTTCTAATACACGACTTATCAGCTGTAAACTATTTTGATCTCTGGATATTAAAAGATGAGGAAATCAGCCTAATACACTGCCCTTCACTCTCATACACTGCTCTTCAATACTTACTGAACCACTTCTACACTGTTAATTTACATTTACCTTTTGTACTCTAAGATAATTCTGCAGTTGTTTTAGTCCTAAAAACTAATTTAATGTTCACTATGTGTCCTTTTTTCAGTTTTTCCAATAAATTCTTGCTTGCCTCAAGTTTGTTCTGAGATGGACTCAAAGAAAATTACAGCTTCTGAATTGTAATATAGTAAAATATACTATATATACATATATATATGTTGTTGTTAAGTTGCTAAGCCGTGTCCGGCTCTTTTGTGATCCTGTGGACTACAGCCCGCCTGGCTCCTTTGTCCATGGGATGTCCCAGGTGGCTCAGTGGTAAACAGTCTGCCTGAAATTCAGGAGATGCAGGTTCGATTCCTGGGTTGTGAAGATCTCTGGAGAATATTTCCTTCTGCCATTGATAATATATATATATATATTATCAATTTGTTAGTGTTCTTTCTTCAGGGACACCAAATTATTTATGTTTGACCCCCTTTTTCTTCCAGAATGCTCATTCAGTTTCTTACCCTTCTGACTCTTTTATTTCCATTTTTCTTTGCTCATTTTTCCCAGTCCTGTCCATGCTTCTCACCGTGCTCTCAGCAGTGTCCCTTTCCTTTGAATCCATGCAGATATGCTTTCTATAATGGACTCGTTTTCTTCCTCTGCCCTTTTCCTCAGCTGAGTCTCATTTCATTTCCCTCTGTTGCTTCACTCATTGTTCCTTTAGCTCTCATGTCTTACCAATGAGTTCTTCTTTCACTGAGGCTATTATATTACTTAATCAGTTTTTGGAATCTACAGCAATAATGTTTGATGATAACTTTCAGCTTCTCCTTGGTAATATTTTGCTGGTGAGTTTTTTTTTCTTTATACTGGTCATTTGCTCTTATCCCTTTCCTCCTTTTCCCACTGCAGTATATCTGTGCTGATCCTATACTAAATCTCTTTCTAAATTTACTACCAATTTTTAGCTGACACAGTTTTAATCATACCAACTGCTTCTATGTTTGTGTGGTAATAGTAGGACTGTGTTGTGGGCTAACAGAAGTTTCCTTTAGTTTACAGTAAAATGTGTTAAGACATGGGTTTGTATGTATCAGTGAGTTAATTTTTATGTTTGTAAACATTTATGTATATTAAATTTAAAGAAATATACATGTATATTTCCCCATTATAAAAATTTTAATACAGGTAAATCCCACCCCGATCCCCTGTGGGAACTGCCACTATCAGTCTGATGTATATTCATTCAGATATTTTATTGCTTATACCAATGTCTACACAAATATAAATATGAAAATGTCACACAGTATATGTTTTATTTGTCTATATTTTATATAAGTGTTAGGAAAAGCATTATGAGTATTGTATTACAGCACATTTTTTAAAGAAAAGCAGGCTATATCTTCTATCCATGTATGTATAGCTCTCCTTATTTTTCATTTAAATTGCAATGTAGCTTATGCAACTACTCCCCTACTGATTTAGATTATTTAAAAACTGTCATTTAGGACATTAAGGTTATTTCAAAATTGTCACTTTTAGAAAATACGCTATATCATATATGAATATGCACAGAAGACCCCTCAATGAAATTCTAGCAACCTATTTCAAGAGATTATACGCCATGGTCAAAGATAATTTATCCTAGGAATTCAAGGTTGGTTCAACATATAAAAATCAACCAATGTAATTTATCCGAAAAAGGACAAAACACTTTTTCATTTCAATAGATACGGAGAAAGCATTTGGCAAAATTAATACTATTCCATGATGAAAATACTTAACAAACTAGGAATAAAAGGAAACTTCCTGAGCCTGATAAAGAGCATTTATAAAAACCCCACAGCTAACATCAAACTTAATGGTAAAATATTTAATGGTTTCCCTTTAAGATCAGGAAGAAGAAAAGGATGTTCAGGAAATGCTCTTGCCATTTCTATTCAACACTGTACTAAAAGTTCTCTCTCTGTCAATTAGGCAAGAAAAAGATTTTCAAAAGGCATCCAAATTGGAAAGGAAGAAGTAAAATTATCTGCAGATTTCAAGACTTTATATATAGAAAAATACTAGGGAAGCCACTAAAATCTGATAGAATACGTTCAGCTGGTTGCAAGATATGAGATCAATATACAAAAATTAACTGTATTTGTATTTATTAGGGTTAAACATTTCCAAATGAAATTAAGAAAACCATTTGACTTAATGTCAAAAAGAATAAAACACTTAGGAATAAATTTAATAAAATATGTACAAGATATCTACACCAACAACTACAGAAACCTTGTTGAAAGATATTAAAGAAAATATAAATGAATGGAATGACACTACATGTTCATGGATCAGAAGACTTAACATTGTTAAGGTGGGGATACCTAAAAATTGATTTACAGATTAAAAGAAATTCTTACTAAAATTCCAGCTTTTTTTTTTCTTGGCCAAAAATGACAAGGTGATTCTCAAATTCATATGCAAATGCAAGGGATCCAGAATAGCCAAACCAATATTTAAAAAGAATAAAGTTGGAGGACTGACAATTCTTGCTTTCAAAGTTCTAGTCAGCTCCTGTAATCAGGACAACGTGGCACTAGCATAAGGACAGATATTTCA